TAGGGTTTAGGATTTAGGGAACCCAAAGTTCCCATAGAACCCGTCCAGGAACCGTGAACAGAAGCCTTTGGCAGGGCTTAATGCAGGGGCCTAAATACCTATACTATGTAAGGGGGTTCCTTGCTATAATTCTAACTATAAAGGGGTCAAAAACCCTATTCTAATTACTCGGGCCCCTACATTACGGTTTAGGGTTTNNTTTAGGGTTTAGGGGTTAAGGATTTAGGGTTTAGGGCACCCTAAACCCTAAACCCCCAACCCCTAAATCCTAGGGTTTAGGGCTTAGGGAACTCTTCACGCACCTGCAAATCCGTGAAAACAGGAGCACATGACTTCCTTCATGGAGTTCACCACTAACAGCTCCGACCTCCTGCAGGCCAAACAAGGTTGAGGAGCTTCGGGTTGAGAGGTTTAGGCTCGATTTAGGAGTTTCGGGTTTAGGGTTGTGCTTAGGGTTTGGAGCTTTGGGCCTTTCGGGTTAGGGGTCAAAGGCTGGCACTGCGCACCGTGTTTAAGGGTTGTTTTTGTTGCAGGTTCTGTCAGGTAATAGGTCTTTGGCTTAATCGATGTTGGTTCTGGGATTCCGGCGTGAGGGCTTCAGAATTCAACGGTTCAGGGCGTAGTGATGCTGAGGCGGTTTATGCTTTCAGGGTGTGGGGGTTTGGGCTTGGAAGGTTTACAGTGTAGTTCTGGAGTTTTGAGGTTGGGAGTTGTTGAGGAGGTCGCGTTCAGAGAGGAAGGACCCTTTGCAATGCATATGGGTAGTTTTCCAAAGTCGGGTCCCTGTTTAGGTCCCTAATATAGTGTGGCGCCCTTATAAAGGGGACCCCAGAAGGGACCCTAATTTAGAGAACTACCCATGTCCTCTTTAAGAGAGGAGATCCTCAAGCCAAGCGGCAATGCACCTTAGCGGTTCCCTTAGACCCTAAACCCTAAACCCTAAACCCTAAACCCTTAGGGGATCTTGAATGGGTTCCTTGCAGGATTCCTTTAAGGGTTCCTTTGGCCAGTTTGGGGATCCTTCATGGGTTCCGGTATGGGTAATTAGGGTTTAGGGTTTAGGGTTTAGGGTTTAGGGTTTAGGGTTTATTTTGGTGCTGGCATGTTGCACGACTACAACAAAGGCTCAGGTACTTGGGTTCATGGTAATAGCAAATGACAGCACCCGCAGGACCATTGGTTATTCGATCTATGGACCGTCAGTTTAGGCAACGGGACAGGGACGGTTTTTTTTGATGCTGAACCCCAAAACCCTAAATCCACAAATCCAAAACCCCAAAACCCTAAATCCTAAACCCTAAACCCTAAATCAACCCCAAACCCTAAATCCAAAACCCCAAAACCCTAAATCCTAAACCCTAAACCCTAAATCAACCCCAAACCCTAAATCCTAAACCCCAAAACCCTAAATCCTAAACCCTAAACCCTAAATCAACCCCAAACCCTAAATCCTCAATGCAACTCCCATCTCGCCCGAGGCGCCGCCTGAGAACGAGATCAGTCTCTGGGCCACGCCGATGAAGTTCCCCAGCGCAGATTAAACAAAGACTAGGATTTAGGGTGTAGGATATAACACTAAAACCCTAAACCCTAAACCCCTGAACCCTAAACCGTTTGAGGGTTTCAGGGTTTTAGAGGGCTTGGGCTTAGGTTGGAAAACCGACCTTCACTCCCTGAGGTTGCCGCCTTCGACGGCCTGCGCCTCATTTGCGAGCACCTCCTGCGTCCGGAATAAACTTCTACACGGTTTAGGGTTTAGGGTTTAGGGTTTAAGAGTGAAGGACCAAATTCTAGTAGTTGGGTTGCACATCGGGCTATCGGGGTTTATGTTTTTGTTCTTTTCATGGGGTTGTGAATGGGTTTTGTAGGGTTCAACAGACTTTCATATGGGCGGTTGTCAAAATTATGGTCCCCTTTTGGGTCCTTCTTATAATACGGCACCTATTATTTAGGGTACCCCAAAAGGGACCCTAATTTTGACAACTACCCATATGTTTCGGGTGGGGAGCCTCAGGTATCGCAGGTATCTTGGGCCCCAAAGACCGTGCTAAACAAGGCTTCTGGGCTGTCTGAAGGATCGACGGGGTTCTTTTCTTTGGGTTTCGGTATCGACAACAAGTCCCAAATCTTCGCACTACGCCCCAAACCTTATAAACTCTAAACCCTATACCCTACTTGACACAAGGTCTTCCTTGTAGGAGAAGGAGGGCGTCCTTCGATTTTTCAACTCTAGCGCCAGGCTTTCGACACGCCGCCCCCGCAATGTCCGGCAAGAAAGTGCGTAAGCGCACCCTGAAAGGAGCCCTTAAAGGAACGCTTAAGCGAGGCCCCTTGAGGAAGCCTATGCCACCATCTTGAGATGCCCTCTAAGGTCGGCTTTGTTTATGGCATCCCTTACTAGGTTGTTCAGTGGTATACTGTATACTTGTCTTTCTGTGTCCCCTTCTCTAAAACCAAAAAGCACTTTCCTTTCACAACTCGTCATTCTTTTGAGTCCGCACTGTAACTTTCCCCAAAATAAAAAGCCTTCTAATTCCCAAGGCCCCGATCTCCAACCCTGCACTATCCTGTAAACTACTTCACAGCACTCTCGAAAGAGCCCTTGTAGAAACCCTGAGTGCTGAGCCCTAAATTACGTCCGGGCATTGCGCCCCAAAAGCTCGCTTAAATCGGAATCGGCCCCGGTGTAGGGCTGAAGCTTTGGGTTTACAGCTTTAGGCTTAGAGGTCTTGGGTTTTGGTGAAGTTTAGGGCTTGATTAGACCCCCAACCCTAAATCGTGGAAGGACGGCCTAGACTTAGACCGTTGATGTTTCTTTGCGGCGTGGTTCTAGCTTTATTTGAGGCCTCATGTTCTCGGAGTTTAGGGTTTTCCATGAAAAGGGCCACTTTAGCACTAAACTCACTAAACCTTCGCTGCCATCCAAAGGGCGTGAACCTGGACTAAACTTCCACGGTTTAGGGTTTAGGGTTTAGGTTTTAACCAAACCCTCTCACTTCAACCATTATCCTTACACCGTTGAAGCTAAGCCCCCAACAAACCTCAACCTCCTAAGTGCTCACCCCTGAACCCTTAGCCTAAAGGAGCCCTTACAGGAACGCTTTAAGGAGCCCTTAAGGGAACACGAATTAAGGAAGCGATTTGGGATCGCTTATGGGACCCCATTGTGCCCAACCCTGGATCGCCTGAACCTTGGACCATGAAGCCCCACCTAAACCCCAAAACTCCTAAACCCTGTCGGGCCACCGCGACTTTCGGTTACAATCTACACAGGCAGGGCTCGAAAGCTCAGGCAAGTCGCCCAGAGCGGAGAAGTATGCCGACATCTTGGGATCCTCTTGGGCTGAGGCTTTAGGGTTTTATAGGGGCCCCGTTAAGGGTTTACGAGACACGCTCTTGGGAGCCTGTTCTTATGGGCTTTTGTTTGGGCTTTCGGGTTTCCATGTCAGCGTTTGCAGGTTTGGGGTTGGGGTTTGACATGAGCTGTCACAACTTTGGCGAAAGCAAAAGGAATGGCTTTCTTGCGGGTTGGAGCAACCCGCAGCTGGCTGATCTGCGATATTCATGCTGCATATTTCGGGAAGTCCTTCACCAAGTGCTGCATCTCCTCTGCCGTGAGGGTGCCTGATGCCTCGAGCTTCAAGGATTTCCACGACAACCGAGGTCCGACAACCACAAATACGACAACCACGGCATCAGGGGAACACGAGGACGACTACGACAAGGACAAGCACAACGACCAAAATGACGACGACTATACATACTACCACCACAACTAGCAGCAGCACCACCACTACCACTGCTGCTACTGGCGCTGCTACTCCGACTGCCAACGCCACCACTACCACAAAGACTACTGGCACCACGACTGCTGCAGTAGTCCTTCGACGACGATGACCACAGCCACTACCACCGGCACTAGTGATACTACCAATGCTTCTGCAGCTGCCTGGCCAGAAAACCGTTGTCAAAAACAGCGCGCATCGGCTGTGGTGAAGCTTACACTATATAGCACTATGTGTTCGGCTGTAGGTCAACAAGATATTGGAGGTTTAATCATCAGTTTTCATGTTCCTCGCCATCGACATCTCCAGATTATCAACACCCCAACATCAGAGTCACTACAAGCGGGAACGATATGGCACAACATGTCGTCATCGTCACATACACCAGCAACACCGTGATCGTAACAGCGTCGTTGCACCTCACGATGGCCCTGATATCTCCCATTGAAGCGGTCACACGAGCAAAACTTCCAATCTACGAATCGACGAAACTAGCACGGCGAGAACCTCACTATCACAGGTGGCACTTCTAGTCCTCAGCTTGCCGGACCATGTGATTCCTGCGGCATGGCCCCTGCTTCAACTAAGCTGCATCCACGTCCATTTCCAGGAACAGGTTTTGCAACCTCGGGCGCCAAGCAAACCCAAATCCCAAACCCTATAGACCTGAGGCTCGTGATTCAGGCAACCCCGTTACACGAAAAGTACGTACTATAGGTGCCTTAATAATTAGCTCGCATTACACTATAATTATAATGTGGAGCCCCAGAAATACTATAGGTACTTATTAAGGCGCCTATATTAAGGTACCAGAAAATGGAACAGAAAAGCTCGCAGCAGGAATGGAGGGTTGTGAAAGTGCAGGACCTTTTTTTCCGGATTCCTGGTATCCTGGGTTTAGGATTTAGGGTTTATAGGGGAGTCTCCATTGTAGTACCTTCGTTGGCTGAACTAATGTGATATTCAGGAAGACATTACAGTATAGGTAGAGCTTTGGGGTTTCAGGGTTTTCGCCTTCGCTTCCTGAGTTTGGGGCTTGCGTGTTTCGAGGGGGTGTCCCTGAAGCATGTATCAAGGTTTCAGCACTCGTTTTGTGGTCAAAACATCTGTACGTTTCCCGTGTCAGTGAAGCCAAACACTGCTGGTACCCTCTGGGTTCATCCTTCTTCTTGAATCTGCAGAGCCCTGAACAGTCAGACCTTCCTAGCAAGCTTAAACACCCAAGGGCCGAAGAACCACACGTTACACCCCAACGCGTTGCGCGCGAAGATCTTGAACCGCAAGTTCCACATGACTTCGCAGAAAATTATCAAACTTAGCAGGATTTGGCAGAACTTTAAGCGGCGGTGCCAAGGCCCATGATCCTTCATCATCTTCAGAGTCAAAAACCTCCCTTACAACCAGCATCGTGCACCCTTCCGCACAAGCCCTCCGGAAATTCCACTCCGCCCAATTTGTATGGAAGCTGCTAGCTGCTGGCAGTTGTATCCATATCCGGAAAGGAGGATCACCAGCCGAGGAAACCGAAACTATCCCAACAGCATCTTAATCTTGGACAAGCGCTCTTTGATGTACTTCTCCTTCACCTCCCGCTCCTTCCAAAGAGGGTAGAAGGTCCGGGTACTGGAGCCGTTTCCAGTCCAAAAGCGATTAGTAAAACCCACGGCTGGCAACCTGATGCTTCGGCAGTAAGATCACCAGAGGTAATAACATGACAAGCTTTGTCTCTGTGATGGACAGGAATACGAAACAGGCTATACACTGCTTATGTTGCAAGTGGTCGAGAAGCCAGGCGCAAGCAACTAGAGCGCCTTATTCTCATTAAACGGAGTCTGGCAGATGAAGGATCAGGAAAATTACGCTCATAATCCTCATGTTAATCACTATCATCAATCGGCATCGCAAGTATGAACACCCGAACCGTGTCAGTCAGGGAGACCATGACCACCGCACGAGTTCTGTGAACAGAGATTTGCTAGTCAAAGGTTTCGGGGTTTGCAAGATCAGTACTCCGTCTGCCTGCCCAAGTTCGTTTCGCTCCGAAGCCACTTTTGAATCTTCTGCGAGGTTATTTGCGTACTGGATTTGACAATTTTGATTCAAAGGATTGCGGGATGCATATGCGCCCATTTACACAGAATAGGTGTCAAGGGTTGATCCGATCTCGGCGCGGGGTGACGAGGGTAGAGCTATGTCTCACTAGTGTTCACCAGTGCCTTCTCGATGAGGAACTCCCGCTGAGTCTTGGCTTTGTCCACGGCATTGTCCACAAACACTCCCGTCCTGAGATCCGCTTGCGGATGAAGACAAAAGTGGCACGAGTCAGAGGCGTCTACATAATAAGCATCCCGACTTTGAGCAACAAGCTGCCGTACAACCTGTTCCAGAACAGTGCAACGCCCAACACGGAAAAAGCTTCAAAAGCCAGTGGGCAAGCTTTGCATCCGGACAGGTCAGTGTCGATAAGATAAGATAAGACGGCTTCCCACGCGTTCTAGGTATTGTCGGCACTCAAAGCTCTAAGTCTAGGTCGGCATTCATTATGCCGACTGCTGCATGAGACTTTGGCTTTGGACTGCGGTTTAGGCTAAGGATTTAGGGCTTATAAAGTGGGCGAAACCCCTTCGGAACACAAAACGAAGAGAAGTCCGCTTGGCATTGCTGAGCTCGCGGCACGATGTTCAGCACCGCCTCAGGGAGGGTGTGTGGTTGATGAGGTTAATGTAGGGGCCTTAATAGTTAGAACAGGGTTTTCGAGGTTACTTAGTATAGTTATAAGGGTAACGTACCCCAAGCCCGCATTCAAAATTTTCAGGCCCCTATATTATGGGTTGCACCTTGCTTGAAAGAGAGGTCTGGGGAGCCCCGTCGTGGTTCGAAGAGGCCACCAGTCTTGACGCTGAGGACTTCAGAAAACAGCTATGTCCTTTGTGATTGCAAGGGCAACTTTGGGGGGCCTTATATGCTAGACTGTATAGACTTCAAAGACCAAAGTAAGTGCTATTTATAGACTCTAGGTACCATTAGATGCCGCAGGTACTCTTTGTGTACTTGGAGTTTTGAGGCAAGGGTCAAGTCTCCAAGCCAAGGGGGGGCAGCTTGAGCTTCCGGGTGTCACCGCGATGGTTCAAACCGTAGCCTGCTTTTCTAAATGGGGAAAACGGAGAAGCGCACTATAGAAGCCTAAAAACTACCCATCTTATTCCTCTGGGTTCCTTATTATACCTACTAGAATGTACCTCTTTATACATCGCACCTTTATTTTTGGTATGTCACGTCTACATATAGTACCTACTTTGAGCTATTGGGGAGTCTTGGGGCTGGTGCTTTTACACCAGCTCCCGAGGGAAAAGAAAGATATTTTGAAGAGACTGGGTTTGGGTTTAGGGTTTAGGGTTTAGGGTTTAGGTTTAGGGAGCTCCTTGTCGAAACTCCGTCTGCCGGGCAACATGAGCATATTGTCGCCGTTGGCTTTCGGGTTAAGGGCGTAGGACGTTGGGAATTCAAGGGTTCGTGCACGCGACTTCTGTGCGACTCGAGATGTGTGCTCAAGGCTCTGCTTGCTCTTTCTTTGCATTTCCCAGTCGCCAGCAATGCAAAAAGGACATAGAAGATGAATAACCTCGTCGGCACGAGCACGGGGCGAGAAAGTAATCTGGGCTGTGTCATGACACTTGCGGTTCGTGGCGGAAGGCACTCCTCTTGCAAACAGACACATTGCAGTTGCTTACATCTCCGACAGCTGGTGGCGAGTGTGAGGCCTGCCACCAGTCAGACCAGCACCCGTATCTGAAGAGCTGCAAGGACCAAGTGCTTGCAAGATGCATTGGAGAAAGTGTATCCATCGCCAGCAGCATGTCACCTGAAGCATCGCGCAGCCGCGCAAGTCTTTTTGTTTTAAGACGACCCTAAACCCTAAACCCTAAACCCTCTCAATTACTGGCTTAAGGCAGCTTTAGACATCTCTGGAGCAGTTGAACTCGCGAGCCATAAACTGGCCTTACCATGGACATCTAACCCTAACCCTCCATAGGGGCTCTAGTACCCTATATAGTAGGAACCTGGGGGTTAGGGCAATATAGGGGCCTGAATGATTCAATTAGGGTTTGGGGCCCCCTTATACTATATTTATAAGGAGGAAGTCCCATTTAAAGTAGTACTGGTAATTATTTAGGCCACTAGTTTAGCTAAAGACCATCCTGAATGGCTTAGAAACCTGTGCATAAACCCGAAACGGCCCTAAGAACTCCACCAACCCTTAAAGGTAAGTCGCATAGAATTCCCCAGTTGATGCCGCCCAGCATAGATCGCAGGAGGCTGTATGTGGTCGCTTGCAGTGTTCCAAAGTTGGCTTGGATGTTGACCACCTTCGGCATGAGATTAAAGACCGTCTTGGCTAAGTGTTCTACATGGGTTCTGTACCGGGGATTGTTCACGGTTCTCTCTTTCAGAATTCTATACGGGTTCCATGAGGGTTTTTGACTTCAAAGGCTTGGGTGCCAGTCTCACCGACGTCCGTCCCCATTGTGCCGGCTACAGTATGGCTCCCAAGTTACGACCGTGTCATGTCAACGGACAACACATCACAAAACAGAGGATGGGGGTTTCAGATCAAGGGCGGATGGGAATTCGCCGACAAACCCGAGCTACAGAGGCAACTCCTTCGATTCGGAACCTCACTGAACGAGATAACGCTAAGGGTTTAGGGTTTAAAGTTTAAAGTAACCTCCAAAGCCCACTGTTTGACGGAGTGCATTCTCGATTGAAGAGCTTTGCAGCTGCTCGAACCAATCATCTCCTCAGACAGATGCCGTGTGAGAGGGTGCGGGAATGCTCGGGTAGCTGGTGAACTTCTACTGAATCCTTGGACTTCCTTGCAAAGGATTCTGGCCCCAGAGGCTAAGGAGGAGTGCTTTTGAAACAGGCAAAAGGTCTGGCGGTGATATTGAGGACGAAGCACCAAAGGTACAAGGCGCCCTCAAGTCGGAATCTCAAAGAGTTCACGAATTTAGGACGAGGTTCCTCAGAATCCCACTCTTTCAACATCAAAGTTTCCGCAAGGAGCCCGCGAAAGCACAAAAAGCTAGGGAAGCCTGAAGAGTCTGAGTCTAGGATTCAGAGTTCAGTCAATGTCTCATAGGACTTTTTAATAATGTGTTCTATCAAGGCTCAAGGGTTTATAGGGAAGCATCAGTGTATAGGGTTTAGGGTTTGTAGGGTTTAGGGTTCAGGGGTTTACAGGGCTTAAAGTGTATAAGGTTTAGGGTCTTGCATCACTGTATGAGGGTCCATGCCTGCTCCTAGTCTAACAGGGGGCGAGTTCGGGGCTTCCCCAGCAGATTTGTTGCCTTGGCCATCAGGTCTCGGGATAGGCCTTGCACAGCATTTCGGGCTGTAGTTTTAGGGCTTCGGCCTGTAGTTGCCTGTTGTTGCTTGGGGTTGAGGGTGTTTTAAGTTTTGGCTTGTTGAAAACTACCCGGACCTCTGTAGAGAAAGCAGTAAGCTCGGAGTTCGGGCGATACTGTACTGCGCCACGAGTCTGGACAAGTCCGCATTGGGCTTCAAGTAGAAGGTGGCGTTGGTGGTGAACCAGACCGCGAAGACGAAAATCCTTGGATGACTTCCGCAAGAGGCTGTACACACTTATTGTTACCTACAAAATGATACACCCGTAAAGCCTAACCAAACCCTCTCCCAAAGCGACGAAGCCTTTCGGAAGACACCTTTCTGCTTAAGCGTTTGTAACTTAACATAATCTCATGGCCAGGGCAGGTCGCTATGCTTCCCTTGTGCAGATAGCGGGGCTTCTTGAGACTAGCACGATTACGGTGACATGGTCACGTTCTAATCTTGGGTGTCTGATGCAAAGGTCCTTCAATTTCTGAAGCTTCCAACTGACTGACAAGTCTGGTGTTGCTAGGGACACTCCAAGGTAGGTCCATCACTCAAAACCCTCTCGCATTCCCCGGTGTGAAGTTTCCTGAATTCGACCAAGCTGCATTAACAGAAGCATCAACAAGGCCTCAATCAAGCCAGCATGTGCATGCACAAACTCAGGCTTTTGAAGAGCTGCACTGCTAGACATGTCACTAAGCCCTCTTCGCGACTGGACTAGAGTTCGGACTCAGACTGCTTGGAAATCGGAAAAACGAGGCACCCCTACGACCCTCTCCATAAACCCTTGATCCGAAGCCCTACGAGCCGTAGCCCTATTATGCCCTTGATGAGCACTGGGAGACCTCATCAAGTTAGGGTCTAGGGTTTAGGGTTCCCTTCTGAGGACCAAGCCCACATCAGCGATCGCAAGGAGTCAATGATCATGAGCGCCATCAGGGACAACTCCCGGGAGAAGCGAAACTGAAGCGATGATTGAGCTTTTGTTCAAGGGGTGTGGGTCTGGGGCTTGGGCTTAGGGTTGTTTTTTTTTCCTCAGGGCTTTTGAGCTTTGTGGCCAAAGTTTGCCAAAGCATCCGAGGCTTTTGGCCTCAGGCTTCAGGGCTTAGCGTGCTTGCTTCCCAAAATCATCCTAAAGGTCCTAACCTCCTCCTTCATGTGGCCACTGTATTACTGTCACTGTGGTATTGTATGCAATGCTCGGCTTGCTATTCGCAATACTGACGGTATGCGCATATGTAGAAGTACGAGCACGAGGGGAAAGATTATTATTGTTTGTAGAGATGAAGGCCTGCTCCAAGCTAAGGGGTTCGCAATGGAGGCATCTAAGGCACTTCCGTAGGGGACTTCGAGGCGGCTTCAAACAGAAGCTTTGATCACTGCAAGTCAAGCGGCCACGCGGAAGATGCGTGCAATTCCTTTGCAAACGGAGGTTGGTGCGTGGGGCCTGACGAACAGACATCCGTTAGATTTGCGCGTGCGGAGCAGCACGAAGAGACTCAAGTTCTTGATTTGGCTTGCACAACGATAAATGAAGGGTTGCCCAGGAATCATGTTGGACCGTAATCAAATCGTAAAAACCAGGCAACAGTCTAAATCTGCCATCAGCATTCATTGGGTGCTGTCTTCGTGAAGCTTGTAGCAAGGAGAAAGCAGGAAAAGGCCGGCACCAGCTTTTCTAATCTCTGCTACGTTAATACCTAAGTCCGTAAACAGGATATGAGCTTGCGCTTCGAGCAAAACTCCATTCCGCTGCACTATGTCAGGGCTTTTTTGGAATGCTTAAGATTTGTTGGCTTGCTGCATTGCAGGAAGCACAAAATACTCAAAAATACCTTAAATTTCCAACATTCCAAACCCCCTGACGTAGTGCAGCGACATGGACCAATTGCGTGCAACTCTGGGATTAATGAGACTGAGCCTTTAGGGTCGTACCCTACGCCTTTTTAGGGTACCTACTTCTTACATAACAGATCCTATAACCATAAAACTAGGTACCTTAAAAAAAAAAGGGTAGGGCATGACCCTTCAGCAGCGCTGCCTCGAGGTAAGGGGAGGAGCAGCTGAAACCAATCATCGTTGCTGATACCAGGATTGCCCATCCTAACATAGGGGCCTTAACAATTAGAATAGGGTTTTGGGGGCCCATTATACTATAGTTATAATATGGAACCAATATAGGGGCCTTGATAATTAGAATAGGGTTTTGGGGCCCATTAATTATACTATAGTTATAAAAAGGAACCCCCCCCAAAAATAGGCCCATCCTATGACTATGCACAAATCGTCGTGTCCCCTCCGCGTCAACCTACCCTGCTGCATGCACACAGAGAAAGAACCACAGAAGGCAATCCTGTGAACAAATGCAACCTTGGCACGTAGCATTTTCAGGATCCTCACTGCTTGCAAGACATCCATCGTCTGATCCTGAGTCATGGCTTCCTTTCTGCAGGCCATCCCAGCAGTGACGCTTCTGAGAGCAGGATTGGCTATGTCGCATTCTGGGAAGCTAATCTTCCAAACTCCCAACCAGAATCAAAAGCAACCACACCTAAACGGACCTATATAAACAACCTTGAACCCTAGCTGTGAGTCTCAAGCACAAACCAAGCGAGAGCAATTTCTGCCAAATCAATCAAGGAAGTACAGTCAATGATAATGCTGATTTAGTTTAGGTATACCTTCTTTATTTAGGGTGTGTATATATATATATATGTATATAAGGGCTCTCCGGGAATGTTGACATCCAGGCCAGAGCTCCCAACTCAAGCCGAAGAGCTATAGGGATACTCTAACAGTAGGGCTTTTGAAGGCTTTATCTGATAGCGTTGAGAGCCCAGGGTTTAGCTGGGCTTAGTAACTTAGGCATTCAGCATGTGCATCCCCAACCCTCAACCCTGTGTGGAACCTGGGCCGAGAAAGCCTGAGTTTGAGTTGGGGTCTCACTGGCAAGTTCACCGAGTCTGGTGCATCTGCGACCGAGAAACGTCTCCGTCGTAGTTCCTTTTTGGGCTTCCTTTTAGGATCCTAAATTTGACACTTGTTAAACCAGAAAAGGAACTACAATGCAGACTAAAGGTAGGGTCCACAGGCCCCCAACTCTAACAACCATGACGAGAATAACAATAATGATGGAATTCATGATCATGACAATACTAAAAATCTCAAGAACACAAGAACCCGAACGGCTGGGGCGCCCGGCACGCCCATCACCCGCCTCCACCTGCGCACCGGGGTCCTTGCTGCCCACGTCTTCCGGAAGTTCAGCGTTTAGGGCTTGAGGTTTAGGGTTTAGGGTTTGAGGTTTACGGTAGGGTTTAGAGTTTAAGATTCCGGAAGTTTGACACGTTCGTGGCTGGCTAGCTATGAACATTACACAGAACTGAGCAGAATCGTCATCCTGTTAGCCAGCCTCAGCCGCTAGTTACCACAAGCAAGACCAACGCTAGATGCGCCAGCATCACCGCCTGGAACGTTGCGCAAACATTATTACCATGGTCGCCGTCATCGTCATCCTGGTCGTTTCTGATTGTTCGGATCTTCATTGTCAGCATTGCCACCTCCTTGCCACTTCCATCGCGAAAACCGTCACTCTTGGAAGGAAAACTGCCAAGGCTGGGGGCTAAAGCTTCCTGTGCTTAGGATTTGCCATTGCTTTGAAGCCTTCGGTTGCAGGTTTTCTTTGGGGGGCTAGGGGCCAGCGGCCCTCCTGAGTGTGAAGTCTTTGAGGCTTTTCGCACTGGTGGCTGTGCGTTCAGGCTCTTTTAGGGTTCGGCGTTTGGTTTCAGGGTTGTGTCCTAAACCCTAAGATTAAGAAAACCCTCGACCACCCTCCGCCTTGACTAAGGTTCTTTCTATATGAATCCTCATATTTTCTAAGACATTGTGCCAGAATTCCTTTATGAGGTTCCTACATTAGAGGGAGCATGAATACCCTCTTTGAGGTTCCTACATTAGAGGGAGCATTAAAGCGTTGGGAGATGTTGATGGCAGGCCACCGGAGTGACGGTCGAAGCTGCGGTATCCACGATCCTTGGGGCTCGGAGTTTTTAATCGGGACACTCTTGCGGCCTGAAAGGCTTGGCTCTTAGGGAAGTCGGGTTTAGGGTTTAGTGTTTAAAGAGTCACCCTAAGGGTCCATGTACCCAAATAGTAAATACGTTGGCCCTGAAGCACCTAAATAGAGTTCACTTTAAGGCCGGAAGAGTATGCTATTTTTCGGTACATGGACCCTCAGGCCAGTACATACTTTGACCCTAAGGTACCTAAATAGAGTTCACTTTAAGGCCGGAAGTATATACTGTTTGGGTACATGGACCCTTAGACGAAGGTTTCCAAGCTTGCATTGCCGAGGGATCGGGCATCCTGGACACTGAAGCCCGCAAATACGATTCAAAGGACAGGCAGAATCTAGGGGTCCTTAATAGTTACCTATCCTACTTTGGGGGATCCTTACTACAGTTCAAATATAATATACCCCAAAACCCCTATTCTAATTATTCAGGCCCCTATATTACATGGCATAGCATCAGGGAACCACTCAGGGCTCCATTATACGCATACCTCGCAGACCCTATTCAAATCATAAAGGCCCCTATATGATGAAGGTTTGGGTGTATCTAGGATGCAAACTTTTGCTCTTGCACTTGCTGCTGGGACGGGATCGCAGCATATCTGCTTCCGGGCATGTGTGCTGTGATGCACCTAGCTGCACAATTCAGCGGAACTAGAAAACAAGTAACAGTGAGGAAGAACCAGCCCGACTCTACGACAAAAACACGAAGGAAGCAGAACAGTGCAAAGTGCATGGCGGATAATGCAAAGAAGCAGCAAAGTCGCACAGCACGAGTGAAGACACGAATAGTATGTGACAGCAAAAATGGGAGCTTCCTGGCAACAGAAACATAGGGATTGCCGCAAGAAGGCAACAAAGCTGTACAGTATCAGCACGTGGACTCAGAAGGCACAATGCCGCAGCCATCTCGAGGACTCTGTGGTGACAAGGCTCAAACTTCAATACTGCCAGCTTCATCTTCTTTTGTGAAAATGCATGCCTTCCCTCAGAATTTTACACCACATCAATTTCCAATGCAGGCCGTGTTTCGAAATGACCACAAGGCAGGTGTCAAAAATGTTCCAGCCTGCAGGTGCGGCGCAGTGAACGGGGGAGCATTGGGACGCTAAACCTCAAGGATTTAGCGCTTAGGGTTTAGAGCCCAGCCGACACTTGCAGAACACCTCTGTGGCAAAGGTCTCACCTCCCCAAGCTGTCCCATCCAAAACTTTCAACTCGAGTGTAGTCCCAAGTGCCACTGTGATGATAACATCCACGGATTGATGTGTTCATTTTCCTTTTTAATACAACATCGTCCTCCGTGGTTGTCTGCAGTGGTGCGCGGGGTCAACAGGACACGTAGGTCTAGGTAGCCAGCTAGGTGGATGCATACGAAACTACCTAAGGTAGGTCAGTAGGCAGGCGCGATGCCGGAGTCACCTCACGCTTCCTCAGTCGTATCACAGGCGACAAGTCCACATCAGCGACGCTTGCGCTGCATATCGAAAAGCGCAGCTGCGACTGTGCATATTACAGTAGAACAGTGAATCACTAAGTTGGGAGGTATGGGGCCTAGCATAATTACACACACACATACATACACACACACATATATATACACATACGTACACGCCTGTATGCCTACATACCCACATGCCTACATACATGCCTACCTACCTACCTACCTACCTGCTTACCTGCCTGCCTGCCTGCCTGCCTGCCTGCCTGCCTGCCTACCTACCTACCTACCTAGCTACACATACGTACATGTATGAACATGGTTTATACATACATATATATATATATATATATATATTTGTGTGTGTGTGTCTGTACAAATGTTCACACACAGATATATAGAAATCTATACAGTTATATACATGTACATGCACACAATGAAGCGCATGCATGTATTATGTCATACGGTAGGCTACGATTTAGGTCACCGCAGCTTGAACCCAACGCCCCGAGCTGTCTTTGGCCAACCCTGGGGCTCCAGTTGCCTAAATAATGGGCGACTAGTTCTTTTTATATATAACATATATATATATATATGGCATATATATATATATGGAGAGAGAGAGAGAGAGAAAGAGAGAGAGAGAGAGAGTCTCTCTTTTATGCTTATATACCAATTGCTGGTCATCCAAAATATTTAAGCAAAGCAGCCTCGACCTCTGGACTCGCAACAAAAGTCCCAGCGATGCCTTAGAGCTGAAGTTTCAGGATTCTAAGAGCTCTGGGGCGCTTTGGGCCTTACGATGCCCGGGGCAGCTTTGGATTTAGGGGGTTATAGGGCTTAGGGCTGTTATAGGGTTTAGGGTTTCGGGTTGATTTAGGACTTGAGGCTTGAAAACGCAGGTATGCCGGATCCGGAGTTGAGTTTCAGGATTCAGGACGGGGTGAAGATTGCCTTCCAAACACCCTAGGCGACTGGAGCTACAGTGACTGAGTAACTGACTGTCGGCGCACGCTCGATTTCAGAAACCATCATCAACTACCTATAGGGTCATACCCTACCCCTGTTGTAGGGTTCCGACCATTTTATATAACAGATCCTAACCATAAAACTAGGTACCTTACAGACGGGGTAGGGTATGACCCTTTATAGGTACTGGAAGTCCGATATATGATATAAGCCTCCGTCGCATGACTGCGCAATCGAGCTTACTCATGCTTCAGGGCTCTAGAGTGTCAACCCAAGGTATTTTTGCCTCCCACCAGGCCGCATTGCACAACCCAGGGTATAGGATTTAGGGTTGAAAAGTAGCACAACACCCCCATGCAACCAAGTGAAACCCTAAACCTCGTCGGGAGGTGGGGATCGCGGCTCTTGCAAAAAGCCCATTCGAATTCAGGCGAAACCTAAACCCTAAACCCTTTTTTTCCTAAGTCCTAAGCTCCCAACCCCTATGTAGACTGCTAGCCCTCCAAGTTCGAAGGATCTGCGAGGCTTCGGGGGTGTGGGGGCTGATAGGGCTTGGGGATGAAAGGGGTTACGGTTCAGGCAAGGGTTTAGGAAATAGGCATGTGTAGCTTTGGTGGTCATAAACAAGGTTTAGGGTTGAAGTTCTCCGAGTCTTTGGGCTCACACGGATTCCTTGCTCTGCATCCAAGGGACGCCATGATTCGCAGGATGAGCTCAAAGAGGAAGAAGCCAGAAAAGAAGTGGTTGAGCACCTGTCTATGCTGTAGCATCCGGAAGCTCAGAAGCTATGCCTAGTGCTTCAGGGTTGGGTCCGACAGGTTGGTAGCGACCTAGATGCGGTTGGGCGCTAAGGTGGGGCGACTTTGGTGCAGAATCGTGAGAGCGATTGGCCCAATATCAACACAAACGTGACCGAGCTAAAAGATGTAGAATCGTTCGTAGAATGGACCTCCTCGCAAGTTGCGCTATCGGCAATCGGGTCGCGGAGCTCAGTGACGTGCCTCCAGCGTCATCGGAGCTTCAGTGTGGGTGGCCAGCCACTGCGTTTCCACGGCGATGACGAACGAATTGGCCTTATGACAAACGGCATTGTCGTGGGCAAGGTGGTATGCCGTTACGGACTTCTTTAAGCCAAGGAAAATGTTCATGATGATGGTGCCGCTTTCGATGAGCATGTCGGGGATGGTGATGTTGAGGATGGTGTCCACACTGGTGACGACAACACCGAAGATATACGTAAGAAGATGCGGCAGCTGCTGATGATGATGGTGATGGCGTCCTACTCCTGCTATATAGTACTCCAAAACGAAACCGAAAGCTGTTAAGATGCCTAGGCCAAGGCTTGGAGACGAGCTTGCGACCTCCACCAAGCTTCGGGGCTTTTGGGGCTCAGGCGTGAGGCTGCAGAATCGGGACGTAAGTCTGGGAGTTTTGGCCAGAGAGCCCAGTACTCCTTAATCAAGGAATATACCTTAAATCATAAGATGAAGCCCCTCATAATTTAAAGGTTTTTCCCTTAATCTCTAGGGGTGTTGGGGCCTAAATAATGGGTTACTGGTTTATGTACTACATGGTTAGTATGTAGGGTTTATAGGGTTTAGGGAGTAACCCGCTATTTAAGTAACTGGAGCCCTAGGGTACAGTCCCCACTCCTGAAACAATCGTGTACCCGACATCAACTGCTCGAGACGGTCCAAGTCAAACTCCGCAACACTGTGCCACTCTGCCTGTAGGTAGTTCTCTACATCAGGGTCCCTTTTAGGATCTTTTTTTTTATACGGGTGCCGTACTATTTTCGGGACCGAAAAGAGACCCCAATTTAGAGAACCCTCCGACATGCGGTCTCCCAAACACGAAGCCTACATAATATAACTACTGTCCGAAACCCAAGTACCTAATTATTAGGTGTACATGGGGGGGGTTACTATCAAAAATGCTGCCATAACCTGAGCTCCTACCCAGAGACTCCAATATCCCTCAATTAAGGAATATACCTTAAATCATATTAAGGATCCTACTATAATTTAAGGAATGTTCCTTAATTAAGGAATATTGGAGTCTCTGGGTACCATCCCAAGCCCGAGTTCCCGACTCTGAGGTCTTCCGCAACCTCGCGCCCGACAGCCCGGACCCCGAAATGCCAGTTGCGTGGACCCCATGTAATCTGCCCTTTTGGGGCTCACTGCTTTGAGTTCCTTATATAAAGCATTATAAGGGTTCCTTATACAAACCAGTATAAACCCATAAAGCGTAGCTTAAAACTTTTGTGGGGGTCCAGGTAGCCCTGAATATCGTAAGCGCAAGATTCCTCAAGCCCAACAGCCAGCCCTCAACACTCCCAACCTTAGACTACCCCTGCCCCAAACCTTCCCCACAGAATCCACAGAGCCATGCGGCGAAAATCATCGCCGAAGCGCAGAAGTCGAACCTGAAAACACTTCAGGGCCACTCGCCCTGCACTGTTTTCGCGGTTTCCGCAAACCCTAGAAACCGCATATTTTGCACTCGAAGAAAGACCCGAACCCCAAAAGCATAACCTGAGGGGCTTAGTGCTACGTGATCTTTCTTGCATTCTGCTGCAGTCGCGCGCTCGGGAATAGGGGGAGATCAAAGAAGACCTTGACAGGTGGGCTTTAAGGTTTAGGGTTTGGGTTTTTAGGGGTTTAGGGTTTAGGGTTTAGGGTTCTTATGCTGCAATTCCGATGTGTTTATGTACTTTGCAAGCCCCACCATTAATAGGAACACTTCGTAAACCTGGAGTTTATAGTTCATGCTCGGTTTGCAGGCTTCAAGTGCTACCTGGTTCGCATTGCAGACGTAAACATTTCAAAACAAGCAATAACAAGCAACACGCCATTGATAACAGCAGGTTCACGGGCAGCAGCACAGCAGCTTCTAGACGAATTGCATCCACATCCTTGCACCTTGCCCTCCCTAAACCCTAAACCCTAGACCCGAAACTTTGCATCCTACACTGCCGTCTCTTCGGAAACTGTGTAAATATGGCGAGAAGCAGGCCATGGCGCACGAGACGGCTCACCCAGTCTTGGGGAACCTGAGCTGCGAGAGTCCTGGGTAACTAGCACACTCTTCCCCTCAAGTGCCTAGATGCTTACACTATAGTCTTACACTATATATCTATAAATACAAATATATATATATATATATATATATATATATATATTGTACAACCCCAAACCCTACGAATCCCCGAAAGACAGAAACGCGGAACGTGTTGACAGCAAAGATGTCACCTTCTACTTCGGCAATATAAGTTAACATGAAAACCGCAGCAGCTAGACCAACAGAAAGATCGTTAATGTAGCAATTTGAACAGGCGTTACACTTGTGCAGGAGCTTCCCATGTTGCCACCGGTCCTGTAGGAAGATCAAGGCCAAGGAAACAAAAGATAGCAGCTCTACAGGTAGGTCCATAGGGTTTTGTGCTTGGTTTAGGGTTTCCGTTCTGTCTTTGCAAGAATCCCTAGTTGGCCTAAGTACTCCTTGAAGTGCTTGCAGTCTACTCGACACGTTGCCACCTGAAGAATCTCGAGAATCACGGGCCGCTGCTACAAACCCCACGCTGTTGCCTGCATCGCATTGACGCATGAACATCGGGAACCCACGAACATGAAGAAGAAGAGGCGAAACAGGGAAGCCTAAGATTGAAGCCTGCCTAAAGCCTAGTATGCTAAGAATGAATACTAACATTTGTAACACTAGACATACTAACAGCTTTAATATTTATACGACTATATGCTACTAAACACAATGCTTATCTCATATATCAGGATAAAATATTTGCATATACCATTAAGCACAACGATAATTACACCATAAGTAATATATGATATGTAATATGGATATGTACACACACATATATATATATATATATATAGGTATGTGTGTGTACACGTATATAAAAGTAATATAACAGGTAACATGCTCAAATTATTACATATGCTGCATCATGTTTAACATCTAGTATACAACTATTTAAATATACAATATTGAACGAATATAACTATAATCACGTGTATATGTGCGTGCATATATATATATATACACAACTATACATGTGTATATATATATATATAACCGAGAACATGATATGTAGTATATGTCAAATGATATCTGATCTATGACATGCGGTATGTAAGATATGCCATTTAAGTATACACCAAGATATGTACATATATTCATATCACTGTTTGATTATATTCTACTATAGGATATCACATTTGGTCATGCTAACGCTCTATAGACACGCAAAAAAAACTATACGGGGATGCGCTTACGAAGTTTACCGACCGCTACGGCAGGGTTTCGGGTTCAGGAACTTGAAACCCAGCGGCAGCTTTCAAACGAAACCTGTGTTCGAGGCTTGCTATACCAGAGCGTATAGCATAACATGCCATAATCGATCGTAAGGCACTCCTGGGAGTACCCCAAAACCCTTAGGCCCTAAGCCACTAGACCACACTTTGATTCCCAGCGAGGGGCAATCTTTGCATCCTCCTTGCTTTCACGATACAGCTGCAGCGGCTGCAGGGTCACCTTGGGAGTTTAGGCTTTGGGGGCTTAGGGTTTAGGGTTTGGGGCTGAGGGTTTAGGGCTTCGGGTTTAGGGTTTAAAGCTTATTTAGGCTTTGGGGGCTTAGGGTTCAGGGTTTAGGGTTTATTTAGGCTTCGGGGGCTTAGGGTTGTAGCAAGCGGCGGCCAGAATAGAAGCTGGTAAGAAAGCCGCGAGCCCAGAACCCCCTGTTGTTTTAAACTTAAAGCCTGAGCACATGCCGAGAATAGCAGTATGGCAACGGGGAAAAAGCAGAAACACAAGTGGCTCTCTAGCAACCCTGAACCCTAAAATCAAATATGACCGGGATCAACCACATCATCACAACATCCAACAGCTGGCTGTATCCACAGGTGGCTCCCAAGTGCCAAGTGAAGAAGGCGCTGCTATGCACTGGAGCCCTGGCTTCCTATCCAGCCCTGCACTTCTGTAAGTTCGCAATTTAGGGGCTTGGGATCCAGGAGCGTCCAAAAAGTGCCACTGGCACAAGCTCCCCCACATGGCCTCTACACACAACGATGCTGAACCATACCCCCCCAAAAAAACAAAACAGACGGAGTTCTAAAGGCTTTTAGATGCGCAACTGGTTACCCTGCGATCAAAGAAGCAGCACAAAGTAAAATACGCCACAGACCAAAATTCCACGCGATGTACTAGATTACAGCTATAGATACTCCAACATGATACACTTTCACACAGTACAAGATATACCATGCAAGAGTACACTACACTAGAATGCATCATAAAGAGGGTGTGAGCGAAGAGGCCCCGTAGTGCGCTGTGAGCTCTTTCCTTGGCTTCACCACCGAATCCGCACCCGACGCGACGGAGGAAAATTCGTCTCACCAGCTTTCCGTTGTTAAAGCTCCTGTTTCTCTCCGCTCAGTTAAGATAGGTCAATAGGGTTTAGGACCTTGGGGTTTTAGTTCTATAGATAGGGACCGCCCCGTACCTTTGCCCACCTTCAATTGCGCACGGGCGTCGTTTGTAATGGTGTTGACAATGGATCCGTACAGTGGGGTTTCAAGTATATGTAGGCTGGGAACTGCTCAGTACGAATGCGAATGTCCAGAAAACCCAACTGCTGCCGACAAAGTCACGACTACAGAAACGCGAACCTAGGCTTACAGGGTCTGGGCTTTCCTCTATCTCTCACTCCTTGATCGGACACGGCGTGTCCTACACTGGACGGGGACGTCGTCAGAAGACTTCTCCCTAAACCCAAGTGGCCGTTGTGACCTCCCCAAAGCTCCGAGGAGATCTTGAGCTGCGATTTGCCACCTACACCCTTGAAGCCAGAACCCCATAGTAAACCCCAACGCCTAAATATCACATGACACCAAACTCTGAACCCTGACCCAAACCATCCTCAACATCTGCAAAAGTTGAACCCACGGATCCCAAACCAGGTGGAAGGCTGTCAATGGCGGCAGGCTAAGGGAAGAAGGTACTGAGAACAACATAGGTTCCTTCACGTCTTAAGGACCACCGGCTTGCTGCCTATTATAGCAGCAGCCTAGACTGTATTTCAATTGTGATATTGACGGTCCCCAAAACATTGCGACTACTACGACTGTTACCACCGCTAGAAACACATATCATTAGGATCGCAAAGACGCGTAAGCTTCTGACTTGATGTAATTGTAGTAATAGAACCAAAGGCGTGGTAGTGGTGGTAGTAGAGGTGGTCGTCGTAGTAAGAGTGAGAGGAGGAGGAGCAGGAGGAATTAGAGCAGTAGCAGCAGCCATATTCGCCATAGTGGCATCATTGACCTTGGCTTTGTGTTCGTGCTGTCAAATACTTTGTTGCTGAGAGTATATGCCCTTCCCACAGCCCAAAACCCCGTATAAAAAGTCCTATGAAGCAATTAGTAAAACCTTACTACAGAACCCTGCTAAAACCCTATATGCTCTATAGACCCTAAACCTGCAAGCCGTACCCCCTCTAAAACCCCTCATAAAACCCAAGCAAGACCGCTCCAAAGGAGCCCTTGTCGTCGCAGCTCTTGCAGCCAGTAGCCCTCAAAGTCGCACTTTAAACCCTAAAGAGCCCTTGAGAACATGTGAACGAGGGTTTAGGGTTTAGTAGACCCTCTCAAGAATGCCCCTTTTAAGAGAGCCAGAAGAGCCCTTCCAGTTGGAGATATGGTTCAACTGAGCCGAGACGACCTCCTCGACAGGAACCTCCCATCATCGAACTTAGGGCAGGGCTCAAGGCGCTTCGGGTTTTTTTGTTTTAAGGGGTCGGCGATTTTTCGTAGTTTAGGGCTTCATGTCCGACGAATTACGGTATTTGGGTTTAGGCTTCAGGGTTTGAGGACCTCAGGGTTTCGGTTTCAGGGTTTCATCCCTTCAGGGTTTTAAACTTAGGCTTCAAGGCTTGCAGGAATCCAAAAAGGCAGTGGGCTGGTGGGGCCGCGGCGCAGGCTCCGTTCGCACATCGACCCATCTAATGGGATCTGGGCTGGCGCTCGGTACGTGGCAGACTGGTTCAGCAGGCTTTGAACTTTCGGAGTTTCAATAACGAGGCACCTTTTGAAGGTGCGCGTGGCCATCGTGGCAGCTGTCGGCACTGCCTTGCAGCAGTCACACCAGTGAAAGAAACCAAGCGCCACTGTCAGCTAAAGGAAACCCCCCACGTCATGGACATATATGCATCTTCCAACCTCAATGAATTTGGGAGCCGATGGAGTACAAAGCTGAGAAACAAGTTAAAGCAAGCAACACATGACCTCAATTTGTAGACTGAGACTGAGGTTTCAGTCAGTCTCACATTCAAGTATCATGAAAAGAAAGCGGGTGGTTTGATGCAAACTCCGTCGACTTCTGGACATCCTTCCTTCGTACCTCTCTGCCGGAAACAAGACTGCGACCCTCCGGCCTGCTGTGTGCACCGAGCCTAGTGGCGACTTCACGGCATCAGGGGAGTGGTGAACCTTGCGTTCGGATCGGACTGCATAAACCGGGGGTCATGCCTGTTTGGATTTTGGAAATTAGAAGGCTTACTGTACAGGTGCAGGAGCAAGCTACAGTGTAGTGTTTCCTTTACACCACCTCCACGTTTAGACGTGTCCAGAAATGCAGCGCATAGGGAAGCTTAGAGGATAAGAACATTGAATATGGCCTTGAGGTGGCTTGTGCTGTGCTGGTTGCTTCTTATTCGTGTGTCTCGCATGAGCACACTTGGCAAATGCAAGCCCCCGATGCGCGCACACGCGTACACACGCACATACACAAGCAACACACACACACACAGACACACGCGCACACATTGAAGTCAAGCTGACCTGAACATCGCCGTAAGACAGGACACCACAATCTCAACCGATGGCTCAATGACTGCAGGAATATTAATATAAATCAAAGGTCCCACACACGCACGCATGTGCAGAGTCTGTTTCATGCATTTCAATCCTCGAAGGTTCTCCAGCTCCTTGTCATGGGAAGGATGAGTGAGAGCTGGTTTAGCAAGACCCGGTCCGGTCAATCATGATGCAACTCAGAGCCAGGGGCTCCATGTCTTCTAAGAGGTTGCATATATGGAGCCTCTTGGAACACTGGCCTCCAGTTCCTGTAGAGTCGAGAACTTGAGGGGCCCGCGTGGCTTCCGAAACCCTGGTGTCCTGGAATTAAGATATGGAGCGGGATTTATTGCGTCCCCATCAAGGAACACTCAGGCCCACATCCGCTTGACTCAAACCGAATCCAAACCATCCGGTAATTCACTTACTTTGCTTTCGCACTCGCACTCGAAGTCGTGACGGTCCTGGCCCCAGAGTAAGAATTGCGCCAATATTCGCTTGGGGTTGCAGAGACGAGCTTTGTACTTACAGACGAGCTTGTACTTCCAAACACAGACAATTAAACCGCTCAGTAGGACCAGTCTGATCAGAAGTTTGGGGTACTCTGCGACATTCGTTCCCGCCCCCTCGCCAACACAACCGCCTTGGACTTGACATCTCCGCCACGCGATTCTGCCGGAAAGTCCTTCACAGACTTGCTTTAAGGTTTAGGGTTATGTTTTGTTTGTCGGCTTTGCTTCGGGCTTGTTTGATGCACATCGCAGTGAAAGCAACGACCGTACATATAGGCCGTGATAAGAATATTAATACAGCGACGAAGGCTGTCTAAGTGCGAGCATGTGTCACGGCAGACACCAATCATGTCAGACTTGTTGGGGCGCAGCTCACCGATATCAAAGTTCTTAGTTGGGGTTCTCGGCAAAGTGTTCTTAGCTTTGCCGCAACCAGCCAACGCCTTCTCTGTCGCCCAGCGCCCGGGGTCCACAACAGGAAGGCGCAGTGCCTGGACAAGGGCAGTCTGCTTCACCTAATGTCTACCGATCTGCCACTGAGAGTCGCCCATTCACGTACATACATACATACATATACATATACATATACATATACATATACATATACATATACATATACATATTCATCTACATATACATCTACATATACATATATACATATATGTGTATGTATACATATATCACATGCTGCTGTACTGTTGTTGCTATGTATTTGTCGGCATTGGCACACATGTTTCGTGTATGATTATGCTGTACAAGGCCGAACTATTTGAGTAGGGAGAGCCCAACGCCGCAGGATTGACATGCCTGCAGAATCTGCATGTGGAGGCCGGCGAGATTGCACCTCACATCGAAGTGGTGCGGGATCTGGGCTCCTGTAAAAGATTCCTCTAGGCTTACTATAAGGATGTTCTAAAGGTTCTTGGGTTGGTTGCAAGACTTTGCCGCGAAAGTCGAAATTCGAGACGGGGTTTCACACGACAGAGCAGGGATTATTGAAACACCTGCGCCGTCATCAGGCCGCCATCTATGCTCGAGCAGGTTCGAGCCAGCCTGCAAGCCCATCGACCGAAACGGAGACCCCAAATAGCTACGCAAACGTACGCCAAACGAATCGCCATTCCTGATCGCCCAGCTGATCCAACGTTCTAACCGGGCTCCCCGTCTCAGTTGGCGCCCAAGGGACATCGCGGCATCATACTGTGCGGCCAAATCAGGCCGTTCCCTTGGCACGGGCCTTCGACAGAGCTCGTTTGGTATGCGGGGATTACGGTCTACTTGCATGCCTGCGATAGAAATTGTAATGCTCCGCAGAAGACAAGTGTGCCCGATAAGGGTCCGGGACAAGACGAACAAATGTCTAAAAGCGGATGTGCAGTGACACATTGGGCGAGACCCGGGTTTTATCTTGTCGTCGCCCCTGCTTGAGTCCTCTGTAGGAACACGGTAAGGAAGGGGTCGGACATCGACGGGCCAGTAAAACACCCTTTTTCTCAATAGCAATTTACACTGGAATATCCATCAGATTCGACTGCATAGAACAAGCTGGTGTTGCCGTTTGCAGGCGCTCTTGTGACCAGTCCATAATATATGGGAGGAAGTGCAGCTGAAGAACTCAAACTCTGAAGACATCAGATCGTGGGGTTGTCAGTCCCGTTGCTAGTTACAGGGTTGCGTCTCTCCCGCCTTTGCAGCGGAGACGCGCTGTCCTGCCCGCTCTCACCCTTTGTATAATAAATCTTGTATACTATACAACTTCAAGCCCCAAACCGTACTTGAAACCCTAAAACCATGCGGAGTTGTGTGCACTGGGGTGTTCATTGAGCTTTACGTGGGAGCGAGGGCTAGGACCAAAGTTCTGCGGCCTAGATTTGCTTGTGCATTTCATGCAGCAGCTGGCTGTGACCATGCTTCGGACTCCCCTTCTCGTGACTGCAACTAGTATGGCTTGAAGTGAAGGGCCATCGTCACGAGGGATGGAAAAGGGAGCAGCAGTGGGATCCATCTTCCGTAAACAAGCACCGACTCTGTGGTTTCAGTAGTTTGAGAATGATTGACCGCCACCATCCCCACAGCACTCCGTCACAGTGTCCAGCACCACTCCGCATCGCCCACTACAACTATGAATGCCACTACGGCGAGCACCGCTGCATTCACGACAGGGGCTACGTACTACTAGCTACGACTACGACTACGAAGAACCGCGACGAACTACTGCCGCTACTATTGCAACTGCTATTCAAACTGCCTGTGGTTTGCATGCCCGTCAAACTCAAGCTTATGATTTCGTGCGCCGGTCCTCACAGCTGCCCGAGCTGTCCGCGATGCTGACGGCGCCTTGGCGGCAGGTTTAGGCATTCCTGTTCCTGGCAAGACCATACGTAGAGGTTGTGGAAAAATGATAATTGAGGCATGTTTCCCTTAGAAGCCTGGGAAGATAAAACTGGAAGACGATACGCCTCCAAGCCCAACTTCCGAGATAGGTTGAAAGAGCTCATCAGCCCTGAGTAACATCAGTAGTTAAGGAACTACTCCAATAGCAAATAAGCAGTTCAAGTTCGATACGCAAGCACGTTTTGCAGCATGCGCTTGGGTTGTATACCAGCGAACCCTCAACACTTAAGCCAACGCTTGCTGTGGCAGCACAGTTTGGGCAACGCACCTGAGGGGTTCTTTGCTCTGACTATTCTGTATAGCCAAGGCGGAAGACAACAATACTTGAGATAAGCAAACCCTAAACCCCAAACCATCTTAGACCTAAGCCCCCTACACCCTAAACCCCAAAGGCCACAAACTGTGAATCTGCTGAGTTGCTGCTCGCTGTTTTCATGGCCCGCGCCGCGGGCACTTGGGGCAGAGCTTCTCCGCTTCATTCTCGAGCCGAGCAGAGGCGTCAAGGGAGTACAGTGCTCGACTGTAGCCGGTGGCTGGGAATTGGCTACTATTAGCCACCACGGGCAACGATCGGAGTGTAATGAAGGGGTGCAACATGCCCGCAGAAGTAGGTTAGGCATTTGCTCTCGTGACATCCAAACCTAATGTCCCCTATGCTTTTGGCTTTGCGATCGCAAATTGAGGCACTGTGAGTAATGCCCGAACCGTTTCGGTAGCATGAACCCCGAAGCACACACATGCTAAAACACTAAGGTCGTGCATAATCAGGTTTCTACCCCATTCGGATAAAAAGGGATCCCTTGTTGGTCTTGGGTAGCTTTATAAGGAACCTAAGGCCAGAAACAACGGACAAGGGGCCCCTTCTTAGCAATCCTTTAAAACGAAGCCTTAAAGGGAAACCGTTGTACTACCCCTGAGCTTCCAAGGACCTTATAGTTAGGGCCCCAGACCCCTTAAGGACCCAATAATGAGGTCCCTGGAAGCCTAGGGTACTATAGTTCAATGATTTATCTCTCTGGCGCCTTGGGGCTGAGACAGAAAGGGTTGCAGACGTCTCTGGATGCCTTCCTCCGGCATAGTACATAATTGACTGTGTGTATGCATCTATTTATGTGTATCTGTACAAATATTGTGTATATATACATGTGTATACTACTATGTGTATATATGTACATATATATATATAGATATAGATATAGATATATCCTTTGAAGTTTATACCGTTTTATGCTGATCATGCAAATCTGACTTGGCTACGTAAAGGGGCTTGCGCATAACGTCGAAGAGAGTAGAAACATTACTTGTCAGAGCCGTTAGCTCTGAAACAAGTGGTTCTTTCACCCTCCTACCCTAAACATGAAAACCAGA